CTTAAAAAAAAAAAAAAGGTTGTTAATGTCCTGTGATGCAAAATTCAAAACAGTCCTCTCTAACCCCAGAGCGCATTTCCTTTTCACACTGAAATAGGATCTAGTTTATTAGGGGGTGGAGTTATCCAGGATGGGTGATTAGTTTCCCATGATTTTATTAGTTTAATACTTTCCCGGTCTCTTGAGAATGGTAACCTAACACCCAACTGAGTTAATCTACTGATGGTGAGTCTCAATTTTATTGTTTTAACCATCCAAATTTAAACCCTATGTTTTCATATTGTAAAATTTTGTGTTGCTCATGTTTACAATTTATGCAATCAATATTTACTGGACACCTATTTTGTGGTAAACACCCAAATATTAAAACACACAGGCACAGTTCCTGACTTTAAGGAGCTTGCAGTTTAATGAAAAGACATATTTAAATAGATACATTATTTTGGCTCTTACTAAAGTATATTTAAATTATCTACTTACATGCCTGTCTTTCCTCCCTACATTATAAGCTCTTCAAGGGCAGTCGCCATAACTTTTTCATGTCTGCCCCTAAAGTACCAAGCACAATTCTTGGATTCTTGGACAAGGGCTCTTGATTAATATGTGTTGAACTAAACAGAAGTACACAAACTTCGATAAGAGGTGTTGAGTGTAGACAAAGGGAGGAATGACCAGCTTTGCCTAACACAATCTGGAATTGGAAGGCTGACATGATCTTTGTCTTGAAGGATGGCTAAGACTTTGCCAGGTAAAGAAAGGGCACTCCAGGCAGAAGGAGCAACATGGACAGAGGTACAGGGACTCAATGAAGCTACAAAGGTAGTTTCTGACCAGATTATGAAGAGTTATTTTAAGAAATGTGAATTTTAAAATACATGCAATTAGGGTTTCATTGAAGTCATATATAATGAGTACCTTTTTTGTTTAAGGTATATACTCTGATAGCATTGCATAGCGTTGATTATCTTGCGGACAGAATGATAGCAGGATGACCATATGAAGACAATTAGCTATTTAGTTAAAAAGTCACAGAGTTTTGATTAAAATGTGCCTGTGTTAAAATCATAGTAAATGCCCCTAGTGAGCAATTTGACTCTAGGCAAAGTATGAACTATGCTGAACCTGTGTTTTTATTTATCTTATAAGGTAGTGGTAAAGACTAACAAGACAACATATATAGAGTGGACAGTAGAATTCCCAGCAAATATGAGGCATATGATTGGTAGGAGCCATTATCCATTTCCATGAGACAATATGCTCTAGTCTGTAAAATGAGTATAAAATACTTACTCTTTAGTTATTTCTTGAAGATTACAGCTAACATATATAAAGTACCTGGCATATATAGCTGGTGGTCAATGAATGCTGTTATTTAAAAAACATCTTGCAAGAGTCCAAGTCAGAGATGACAAACAAAGACAATGGCGAGAGGGTTGAAAAACTGAGGACAAATTCTAAGGATCATTTTGAGGAAGAAATGACAGGTTTGGTGATATGGAATGGGAACGTGAATTTGGGAGTAAGCAGCATATAGTGGCCCAAACACTGGGAGTCCAGAGTGAGTAGAGATGAGGACAGATATGGTAACCTGAGAATACTAATATTCAGGCGGCAGAAGGAAAAGAGAAAGCCAAGGAATGAGGTGGGAAAGGAATGGTGAGAGATGGAAAAGACTCAGAAATGCAGAGCTGTGTGAGCTCTGGGAGGAAAGACTTCTGAGAGATATGAGTAAGATGAATATACAGTTGTGCTACAGGACATGACATCAGATGGATCATCAATAAAACTTAAGGAAGCAATGTTGACATTGAAGTTGTCTCCTTATTGCACAAACCCCAATTATAGCACCTTTATCATTCCTTTCTCACAATCTACTTACCTTGAACAATTAATTCCACCTCTTTTCCATCTTTCCCGACCTGATTGACTCCTTCACACACATAAATTCCAGAATCTTCTATCCTCATAGCAATTAAAGTCAGAGTTGTGTTCCCAGAAAGGAGCTGTAGATTCCCATCATCTAATTTTTTGCTCCAGAAAATCTGTGGGGCTGGGAGACCCTCACTGGAACATGTCATTGTCACAGAACCACCTTCTTGCAGCCTCGTGGAGGGGTTTGCAGAGATAACTGTGTTCTTGGGTGAGACTGAAAAGGCAGGGCACACGATTAGTAACTGCTAGGCATCATCTTGATCCAACAGGGATAATGTATTTCTCTCACAGACTGTATTCATATGCTTTCACAAATTTGACAAACTTACTCTGTCATATTAGTGTAAAACCAGTATTGTGGGGTAATAAAAATCAGTCAATCCGATTTCGGACTAATCTGAGTGAGTTACTTTTTTTGATGTTTGGTATTTTCAGATGGCCACAGATACTCAGAAATTAAGAAAGACCCTTAGAGTAATATGGTTCAATCTCCCAGATAAGGTAGAAGTCCTCTTAGTATCCTTGCCAAGTGCTCATTTAAGTTGGCTTCAACACTTTTGGTTGAGGGAATCGCTGCCTTACAAAATAGTCCATTTGATTTGAGGACAGCTCTAATTATTAGAACAATTGAACTGAAACCTTCCTCTTTGTAAACAAATTTCACACAGTGACCATAGTTCAGTCCTCTGCTGTTACAGAAGAAATCAAATCCCTTTTCCACATGACTGTCTTTCAAATACTTAATGATAGCTCTCTTTTCCAAGTTTTGTATTCTCTAGGAAAAATACCCCCATCTTGACTATGCTTTTCAAAATATTGATAAAATCCTTTCCATCTCATTCTCTTTCAGCTAAACATGCTATAGTTGGCAATACTTCTTTTAAATGTAGTGTCCAAAGCAAAACACAGCATTTTGGTCTAGAATGGAGTACAGGGAGTCCACTCCCACACAATTCTGGGACTACAAGCCTGCCTCAAATCTGCCCCCGGCCCCGGACTCAGGGAATGTGGAGGTAATCACACCTCATCTCCACTCTTCCATCCAATGCACATATGTATGTGTGAGCACATGCACATGCAGACGAGTATGCGAGCGGGCGTGCATGCGCGTGCACGCACACACACACACACACAGAAAACAAGTGCTCACCTTGTAAAATCTCTACAACTTAATCTTTCAGGGCACATTATAAGAGTTTGCAAAACATAATTAAAAACATCTCATTTGAGCCCACTTCCTACAACCCAGTCAGCTGGTATTATTACTCCCCTTTGATAGATTGGGAAATAAGGAAATTGAGCGACCCAAGTTCATACCAATAATGGAGTCAGAAGTCTTCTCAACCCAAATCCAGTGCTCTTTTCATTGAATTATGCTGTTGACAAATATATTCTTGATGAATAAAAATGGAGTAAAAACTATAAACTGATGCCTTCCTGACTTTAGCTGACTAAATTCCCACAAAGACTAGACTACATCACACAAGTACTTACTGTAGACTTGTAGTTTTTTTGTAGTCTCCCTTTCTTTGGGCTCAAAGTCAATTTCATCAATGTTTAATTTTGCTCGGCAAACAAGAGCTTTCCCAATATCCTCTTTGGTAGGAATGAAGGTTGCCTCCAAACTCTTGGTCTCCAGGGACTTCCCCTCCATAGGCTCTAGAAATTCCTTATTCTTTAGGAGATCATTGCCCTTCAGCAGATTTATCTCCAGCCTGTCAAATGGGTAAACATCGGGGACCAAACATGTGACAGTGACTGGCTTCTCCAGTTCTAGGGGGTTACTCAGATGGATCTCTGGGTCCTTAGGGAAAGCTGTAAAGATCAAGCAAACACACATGAGTGGGCTTTCTGTTCATGTAATATAAGGTCTTTTACTGATTTAGTGCAGTGCAAACCAAGTCTAATGTTTCTGTTAATACAGTCTTAATTCATTGTTCAAATAGCCTTTTATGGTTTGGGGTGGGTTCACAAATCAGAATCAATCACCTTTTAGGAGTTCTTCAGCACTGTCCTGCATGTACCAAAGGTTGCATATTATTAGAGTAAAAGAAGGGAGAAGAAATTAATGTTTATTGGATACTTCTTTGTGCCCGTCACTGTGCTATTCATTAAATATAAATAATTTTCTTGTAACTCTAAGACATTTCACATTTCACAGATATGAAAACACAGACTTAGCACATTTGCATAACTTGCCAAAAGTCACACAGCTAGTAAATGGCAAGTCTGGGATTTCACTCAGGATTTCTATTATTCTGTACTGTTACTGAAGATTTACATTATATCACATTCTCTTATCTTAAGGCAGACATATGTCCACTTTACAGATAAGGAAACTGAGGCTCAGAATATCATTACAAAGAACAGTTATTGGGCACCATATGCTAAGAAATGAAGCGAGCGACATTAAATAATTGGTTCCTGAAAATGATGCCTCTGCCAGGAATTCATCCACCAGGAAGGTACACCTGTGCAATCTTTAAATTCTGGAAGGGAGATCTGCCTCCTGCAATGCCTGACTCAGTGTCCTAACCAGCACTCCACTTGAACCTTCCAGTGCCTAGGGAACAGGGAACGTGCTATTTCAGTCAACCATTGCTTCCTTTGCAAGGGCTAACTTTTCATTACAAACTGTCATGATGGTAACCCATTGGCTGGATTCAGGACTCTGTACAATAAGAACATAAAGGTCCCAGCTCTAAAGAATATTACAATCAAATGTGGAATGGAGACAGGATTGTTAAACATAATGAGAGACAGATACTCTTGAAGAAAAACCCCAGGAAAGATAATTAAAGCCAGAAGGGTCTTTAGTCCTCTTTTTTAAATCTTCAACTATTTGATGCTTGAGAGCAAAGACAAGGAACTGGAAAGGCTTTGCTATGTGAAAAAACAGTATTTTTAATTTTTCCACCAATAATTTGTGTCCCTCGTATTCTGTAAGAAATGTGTCCATAATCTGCATAGTTTGCTGTCAGGTAATATAAGAATTTGCTACTTTTCCCTGTATTTACATAAGGGGGGGCTTTTCAAGGAGCTCACGAGGCTGCACAGACAAACTATGCATGTACAACCAGCATAATTGGAAGCAGCCGGCCAGGCACGGTTTCTCGGGACGCATTAGCAACACATGGAGCTTATTGAAGAATCAATTACGGATGCCGGGCAAAGCTGAGCTCCACCATAGCAGAAGGGAACCAAAATAATTATAAGATAATCAAATGGGGTCTTCATGAAGAGATGGCCATAAAGGATTGCAGGGTTTGTTCTGTTTCATTTTGTTTTGTTTATCTGAAAGAGTAGTCATCAATAATCAAAGACAAGATTTTTATTTCAGGTTGGTTCTTTACTCCTCTTGCTAACTTTATATGCTGGATCAAGAATGGATTGACATGCATTTTGGTAGAATGGCAAACTAGGGATGTTTATTAACATTCATGAGGCAAATCTAATTCATTACACCAATAACCTTGAGGTTGAGTGGTGGAGCATTAAGGCTTAATGGCACCAAAAACAAAAGCAACCCTCCTAAATTTATCTGTACCAAAGTCAAACGAGTGAAATGTTTGCAGATATTTTCCTTATGTCTAAGGGAAAACTCTTGTACAGAAGCCTATTACTAAATTACAGATCTCCTACTTAAGCTGATTTTAAGCACAAAATTGCATAAGAATAAATAAGTGGAAAATCCCTGAAGAATGGAATTTGTAAATCATTTAGGCATATGACCAAGTAAACATGTAAGGATATAATCAAATAGAAATTTTTGAAAAAGAAGATTAAAAAACTTCAGAGATCTTCATTTTATGGCTAAGAAAAGAAAAGCCCAGAGAGGCTGAATCTTACCCATGGTCACTATGTTTGTGGCAGAGTTAGAAATAAAGGCAAGGTTTGGATTCCTTTTCTAGTGCTAGTAGTCTTAAATTTCTTGGGGCAGTATGTCCTCTAGTCAAGAATCTGGACATGAGTATTCTTTCATTTTTTTTTCTTTTAAAAATATCCTTTCTAAAAAAACTTATTTTAAAGCAAAATTAAGAGAAAATCAAAGATCCTCTGAAGTACTCACAATAAATCTCCACCTGAATTCCTTTTTCCAGTTTCTTAGATCCACAAGTCGCTGTGCACACGTAAGCATGTTCATTGTTGAAACTAACAGGATCCATGGTCAACGTGGAATTGGTCCCCTCATTTCTCACCTTCCCATTCAGCGGACTGTCTATTTGAGTTCTCCAAGAGAAAGATGGGGGCTCACAGCCCGTTGTACTGCAAGTCAGTGAAATGACATCACCAATCTGAGCAACAACTCTGTTTTCAGGGAAGATCTCCATTTTAAAAGCTTGAGCTGTGAAGACAAAAAAGAGAAAAGCAAACTTTGTTTAGTGTTCTACTCCCTCTGCTCTGTTCTAGTATAATGTCCAAAACACAATCTGGCTGATCTCTTTCGTAAATTTTGAACGAACTGCAAGGCAGCCAAAACGCACTGGAATCACTGCCAGAGGTGTTGGAATCATGGAGAACTCTCAGTCGTGACCTTGATGCCCATTTATGAAAGTTGTTTTGGCATTTGCTAAGTTTAAGCTCATTATCAAGTACAGGAAACTGAAGAGATAGACCTCAGTAGAGATAGAATCCAATTATTTATTTGACACTGGAAAAAGATATCCAAAAAACATTAATTTATAGCTCCAACTATGACAATACCATGGTACATAGCAATACTCAATAGCACATTACGTATTACATTCAATTGTTTTCCCACTTAAAAATCCTAGTGCCTTTCTTCACTACCATTGCACAACTGACTGAAGCCAAAATCAGAGCTGAAATGGAATGTGAGCATTTGGAACAGATCAAAGAAAGAACTTACAAACTGCAAACATCATCCAAAGTACATTTGAGGCTCCAAAGATCACGACCATCTTCCTAGGCACTTTTAGTTGCTGCTGTGATGAGAACATAGTAGTCCCCAAACCTTTCTTTCTGTCCCACCCGAAAGTGTCCTGGAAGAGACTTTAGCCCCTAAAGCCAGGGAGGCTCAGTGAGGAGTGAAATGGAAAGTCTGCTCTTTATAAAGGGTCTTGTTGCAGAGACACAGAGGCGGAGGGAAATCCCTTCAAGGGGAAACCCGGAGCAGAGCCAGAAAAAAAGTTTCACTGACACCCAGCCAAGTCCAGGATTAACCCCTTCATTTGCTCTCAGTACTGAAACCAGTACTGAAGAATGAAACACTTCCAAGGTGATAAAATTAAAGCTGTTCCTGATTTTCACTACAAAAGGATTGTATGGTGACTAACATAACATAATAAAATAAAATAAAATTTTTTAAAAAAAGACCTGAGCTGGAAAAAAAAAAAAAAGGATATCTTTGCAAGAAAAATACAAGGGAACTCTCATTTCAGAATAATGCTCATTTCAAAATAAAGGAAAAGCAAAAGAGAGGAGGAGAGAGACAGAGACAGAAAGGGAGGGAGGGAGAGAAAGAATAGTAAATTATACTCCAGATTTTGAAGTGGCTAAATAACCACTATGTCATATGAACTAATTATTCTCCATTAAGACATATTTGCAAATTCTAAAATAGGGTCTAATTTTTCGCTTACAAGAAAAAAAGAAAAGCTCCTATCTTTTTATGAGTTATTTTTTAAAAAGGGAGACCACTTAACTTTTCAGTTTTATTCTTTCTACTCATAAAAATATTAATAAAATAATTCTTTTAGCAACAAACGTCAACTTTCTGAAATGATTTCTGAAGTGGAAAGTAAAGGAATGTTACTAAAACAAGAGAAATAATTTTTCCCTTTTGTTTCAGGAAAGTTACCAATCCTTTGGTTCAGCTGCTTGTTGAACTGAAATTCTTTCACAGACTTAAATGCAAATGTATGGAATTCATCTGAAGTGGTAAATCTCTTGGATTGGACCACAGACACAATCAAAACATGAAAAATAATTTGGTTTTGTTATATGGGAGGTGATGATAACCAATCTGATGCTCTTCCTACCCCACCCCGCCCTACCCAGTGAAATTTTTTTTTTTTTTAAAGCTGTTTTAAAAAATGACAGCTTGGGCCTTGCACACACATAGCTCAAGTCTTTGCAAAATGCTTGCTAATCAAAAAGAAACCGGAATAGCCACTTCCTTGTATTATACACGTACTGGTCTACCTCCTCCGTTGGATCATCAGTTCCTTTAATGACTGGGACCAGTCCTTGTACATCATTGCACCTACCTCTACCTTCCCAGTATCTAATGCATGGTTTTACACTTCGTAGACACAACAAAAGTACAGTAATAAATACTGTAAATTAAAATTTGGAAAACAGACTTTCAAAATGCTAGCAATCCTGTGTAAATACTGAATGAGAAAAAGTTGGATTCTACAAGAAAATACCCAAGCTCATTGACTCATGGGGATGTGGATAACAACCAGCCAGTGCTATGTAACGAAGGCCACAACTAAGGTTTGGAAACCGCACCTGTCCCTACATGGCTGGAGAGGCTTCTGGACATCTTCCTGAATACCGATGAGGATGGACTCACTAATGGACAAGGAAGGAAAAAGAAGTGGGAGAAGTGAGAGAAGCTATTCTGAGGCTCTGATATGTGTTACTTCACCTACCAAGTATCTAGGGATCAGAAAAGTGGCTTCAGGCAAAATAGGCTGGTAAACCAGTAACCTAGTGGTCCTTCACAAAGTTGTCCTCATGGAAGAAGATGATCCGAACCATTTATGTTGACTCCTTAACTTCAGAAGAAATCTAACGGGGATTAAGGAATTTTAGTGCATTTCTCTGTACAAAAACAAGTGACTGATAGGATCTAATGAGCTCCCAAAGACCAAGTCTTGGTAAATAACTTCAGTTCTGAGTTTGGATATGATTCCAAGTTTTGAACATCGAAGAATTATCTGATCTATTGAATTAATTCATAGTGCTTTCAGCAAAATATTAGATGAAGTCCCTCATTATATCTTTGCTTTGCACTCCATTTGAGGTCCAATCTGCTTCTTCCAGACTGAATTGATTGTACTCTTCTTTTTTTTTTTTCTTTAAAGATTTTATTTATTTGGGAGATAGAGAGCACAAGCAGGGGGGGGAGAGGAAGACAGAGGGAGAGGGAGAAGCAGGCTCCCCGCTGAGCAGAGAGCCTTATGTGGGGCTCGATCCCAGGACCCTGGGATCATGACCTGAACTGAAGGCAGAAGCTTAACTGACTGAACCACCCAGATACCCTGACTGTACTCTTCTATGGCCTCTCTACACTAATGTATACCGGTAACAGAGCACCTATTGTGTTACATTTATCTGTTAATAAATCTATCTTTCCCAATTTACAGACTCAGGCTTTTTTGTTTTTCATCTTAAAAATCTAGACCAAGATAAGGTATTCATTAAATTTTGTGGAATGAATGAATGGAGTTGCAAGTGTAAGTACAACAGATTGGGACTAATCTGCCTGGATAGAGAGTTACTGTGTTTTGTCTTTGAAATTGTTCAGTTCAACATTTTTATCAGCAACACAGAAGACATGATTATCTAATTTATTCATAATAAAAGACTGGAAAAGTTAGTTAACCTTAGAAATGACAGAATCAAGATCAAGAAGATCTCAAAGGATGATGAAGTGAAATTTAATAGGAATGCATTAAAATCTAGTATTTAAATGTAAGACATCAAATAGTTAAGTACAGATGGAGGACCATAATCCATAGGAAGATGGATTTCAGTGATCCATAAAGTGAACACCAGTTAACATTGCTATGAGAAGCCAAAATAGATGCAGTAAGCTCAAGCTGTACTCATAGCATTCAACCTTCTAATCATCTGAGGCCATCCAGGACCATATTGGGAACAGAGGTGTCTGATTCAGGATGCCATTTCTTATGACAGAGACAAAAGCAGAGAGTATTCAGAGGAAAGTGATGAGGATGGTAGACAACTCCAAAATCCTTGCTCTAGTAGGGAGCTATTGAAGGAACAGTATGTTTTGTTTGGATAAGAGACACCTACGAAGCTATGTAATAACTGAATGACTGCTATGTAGAGGAAGGAATATGCTTGTTACTCTGTGTTATACCAAGGGCTACAGGTGGCATACATTGGTATGTGGTTACTAGATTATTAACTGTAGGAGGGCCAGGAATATGTGTGTCCTTTTACCAGGAGAGTTTCAGCATTTAACATAGTGACCAGTAGATAGTAAGGCTCAGTAAATCAATATCTAATGGATAAATAATTACAGTTTGAAAGAGAACCTAACTCACAGCCCAACAGTCCTGAGTTCAAATCCAGATACTCTGCTCAGGAAATGTAAACCTTGCACAAGTATAGCTAGCTTCTCTGCACTTGTTTACACCTGCTCAGATAGGGGTAATAGTACCATCTGAAGTGATTCACATGATGTTTATGACTATCAAATCAAATGGGATCATGTGAAAACTCTTTAAATAAATACATAAAGTACTATATATATGGCATGTAATAACATTAAAAGATAGCCATATTGAGCTCACTGTAAAGAAAGGACTTCCAGTTATTAAATCTTTTCAACAATGAAATGGGTCACCTCAGGAATTCACCAAGTCTTAGTCATTGGAAGTGGTCAAGCAAGGTTGGATAACATCTCCAAACAATGTGGCAGAGGTCAAGTTTTGCCTTATTTAAGATATCCAATTGGATGGCCACGAAGGTGCCCTCCACTGTTAGGATTCTTTAATTGTGGGCAGTGCTATCCATCCTTTCTGGCCTAACTTCATCAATCCCTTCATTGTCCATATGAAAATTTTAAGCATCTTCTGATGTTTCTCTGGTTGGACTCTGAGATGCTTCAGGTATACTTCTTTCAGCCTGTTCTAATAATTACTGAGTTTGTAGCAACTCCAATTCTTCATGACTTTCATGTAGGCAATTTATATGGGCCTCCCTGGAGCAGAGTTTCCTTAGGTGACCTAACACATCTGAGGGAATTGATATTCCCAGTAGTAACAGTGGCTCATTATGACAGAAATTCTCACCCAGGTGAGAGAAAGAGCCATTCACTTTTTGGTGGGCATATCAGAATGGGTTTGGGAAAGTGACAAAACACTTCAGTACATTGTATCATGTCAACTTCTCCCCACTTTAAGAATCAAAGGATCTATGTTTATGATTCCATTTGGCTCTATGTAACAGAAATCTTTGACAGTGGCAAGACTAGTGTGAGATTCAAGGCAATGCAGTTCAAGGCTGGATCAGCTACTTGGAGAAAACATCAAAGACCAAGATTGATTCCAGTTGCTGGTTCTGTCATTCTTGGCATGTGGTTAAACCTCATGATCCCAAGATGGCCGCTCTGTCTCCAAACAATTACATCTGTATCTCAAGCAGGAAAATCAGAGGAAAATGAAGGGCAAGAGGACAAAGCCAGTGGAGTTTAGCCCCTTCTAAAGAGCTTTCAATAAGTTCCAGGTGGTGACTTCCTCTTACAGCTCATTGAAAACGTGGGAGATTGAATATTTTAACTGAATACATTGTTGCTCCCAAATAAATCGGGATGTTGTTTATAAGAAAAAGGGAAGAATGGATGATGAGTAGGTGATTAGCAGTGGCTGTCACAATTGCCTACTTCAGTTCAAATTACAAATGTTTATTGAGGAACTACTGCACAGACACTGCTCCAGCACTGGAAACATATAAATGAAGACACAGACTCAGTTCCTATATTAGGAATGAAGAACTGCACAGTATCCATAAAGAACTTTCACATAGTTCAACTTGTGACATAGAAGAGGATCCATTTATTTACCTCTTGTCTGTAATTAGGGAATAAGTTGTATTTTAGCAAGCGAATAGAAGTTTGAAGTTTTCTGGAAAACAAACTATGGGAAGAATCATTGGTTCAAAGCCCAATTCACCATGGATTTATTGTGGCTTTCTGGAATTTTGAGGAAAATACTACTCATCATTAGTAGTAAGAAAAAGTCTATTTAATAATACACATGTACCTGATTTGAGTGATTTACTAAATTTTTAATCTAGAACTGAATTATTATGTAAAATAATAATAGGAAAAAGACTGCCACTATAGAAATTATTTCTCCTTTCCCTTTTGTAAATTTATTTAGCAGAATT